TTCTCCTTCACTTAGTTTCAAGTACCTTTTACTAAAATGTACACTGTTTTGTCACTATATGTTATTGTCATTATAAAAGTATTACACTGACATTCACTCTAAAGTATGATTTTATTTTTAACATTCCCAGTTGAAAAAGTCTTCATCTTCCTATTAGAACTTCTATAATTCTGTTTTCTTTCCATATTAAATGTTGATAACACAAAAAGCATACAAAGGAAAATAAATATATCAAACCATAAGTATGTACACATTTATTAAACTGATTCTGTCTTTGGAAATATAATTTTGTAGCATTTATAGTATTTATCAGAAATGTCATGAGTTGTTATCCATATTAGGCTTTTCCTTTGACACTTAGATTAAGATTGATCTTCTGCTCCCTTATTTGTTAATTATATCTTTATATGTAATTTCTTATACCTCTAATCGTAAGCTGTGGAAATCCACGGTTCTGATAAAGTATCAGTATATGTGTTGTGTATTCCTTTATTCTAGTCTTCTGTCTAACCTTAGTTTTATTCTAAAACTAGACCCAATTAATTAACAATTCTAGGTTAAAATTAATAATCTGTTGAAAATATATACATAAAAATTGTCTTTTCATCCACATAAAACTGAATTTGTTTATGATGTTGGAAGTAAGTGATGTACATTTAGAAATGTACAAAGTTCAAAATGGACCTAATTTAGTAAGAAAGCCGTAGTCCCGTCCATTCCCTGCTCTTGTATTGATGTGACAACAGAGAGAGCCTCCCCTGTTCTCTTACAGTCGACTATGATGAGTCTGATCCTGACGACGAAACATCAGAAGACTGCAAATGTTCTCTGTGCCAGAGACGCTTCGAGGAGCAAGGTAACTGACCACTCCCCTGCCTCTGTCCTCCCTCCTGCCTTTCCTGAATACAGAATAACCAGATTACTTGTCAAACAAAACATGGGACTTTGGGTTGGCTAGAGGACCTATCACTTTCCATTGGCTCAATTCCTCCACTGCAACCTATAGCAGTGTGGGGTATAACTCTTCAGGAATTAGAAAAAAAAGCACAGTCTTGTATTTATTATTGGTTATACTGTGTTCCTGAATTCTCTTTTAGTTTATCTTTGTTAATCCAAGCTACATGGGAGATACAGTTTGATTTTTAAGGGACGTAGTCACCTACATCTGCTCCCAACTTAAAACAGTTTCTCCATTTAGACATCTGCAATGATCACATGATACTAACCTGTGCATGATATTGAATGACGTCTTACTAACCTGCAAACTGAAGGTTATAGCTAACAGTGTAAATGTCTAGAACAGATAACTGCATGGTAGCTAATATAAGGTAAAGCTCAACATTTGAAGTGTATTATGTGTTCTTAATCATGGGATTTAAGAAATCTGGAATGTCCATAGACACAGTCTGCTTAAAGTTTTTGAACACTTTACAATGGCTCTTCAAAAGATGTATCCTATGATGATTACCAAAATTAAATATTTAGCAGAGTCCTGAAATGGAAAACCAAGCAACCTTTTTTGATTTCTAGAGTGCATACTGTTTGTGATGTGATCATAACAGATGTCTTGCTCCATCTCACATATGTGTCCTGCAAGAGGGAGCTGGCTTCATTCCAGGAGGAACATGTAAGTGACTTCCAGTTACTCGTGTTAGCGGAGACCAATACATTACCATACATACAGCCTGTAGTACCCATATAAATGTAGCCAAGGGAAATTGCAGTACTGTGCCTGCTTTGTCAGCCATTGTCCTTTACTCATTATTACAGTGCTATTCTGATTGAAGTACAGCATGTTGCTTGAGCAGAACAAAGACATACAGAACACATCTGATTATGTGAAGATGGTCCCTCTCTTCCTGTTTGGTATCAAAGAACATTTTATCTTGGCCCAGTACTGTGTTCAGAGTGAAGATTTTGTTGACTTGTTCACTGCCAGACATATAAACATTTCACCTCCAGGACTAATGGTTAGGCAGATGAATGCAAGTGGTCTTAGTTTAATAGACTGAATTTGTCAAACATATTCTCAAAATCAGTATATATTTTTAAGTATTCAAAGTTCTGTGAAGATTTTGTGATCGCTGGATAACATCTGGAGGTAATGAAATACATTTGTGAAACTGCGGTATTATAGGTTATTTTGCTGTAAAGAGCGCTCACTTATTGGTGCTGCCTGTAGCTCAGACTATACAGCATAGGATGGTTTGATGATTGATGTATTGAAGAGAAAAGAAGCAGTCATGGCCTAATATAAGCATTTGCCTGGAAAGACAGAGGAAAAACACGTAAAACCTTTGGATAGTAGGCCTTGGGCTGAAACAACTTTTGTAGTAAATATGTTCTGGTGATTCTCTTTCACTCTTTATCATCATTAGATATTTTTATCTTGGCCCTGAATGACTTTATCTGTCAGGATATTATTCTGTCTTATGCTCTCCAACCAATGAACACTTTTATCAGTCACAGGAACCAAGATGTAGATGCAAGAATATGAATTGGTAGCAAAATACAACATCTTTTCCAGAGAGTTGCCATGTACCTCACATTTCTGTTGTGTTGTATCTTGATTCTGTGTGATGTTCAGTTGTGTTCACGGGGTTTAGAACCTTTTAAATGGACACTTTCCATTGTATAGACTTTACAAATTATTTTTGTTTGGCACTTCATGTTTACAATAAGAAGACAAGCTGAGGTACTTGTGCTTCCATCAAACTCATGTTCTTTAGGTTATAGGGACACTGATGACACAATGGATATTGTCCAATTAAGAAGTTCATCCCCATCAACAGACCTGATTTCAACAACCCCAGAATACCAGCCAGGGATTTATAAACGAGGTATGACTAACCTTCCAGTAAAATTGTGAGGATCAATCTAAGTTGTTATTTAGTTTTATAAGAAATTTCCATTTCTGTTTCACATGTTTTCAGTTGGGAAAACTTCGTCCCACACAGCAGTTAAATGTTAATTTAATGAGGCTCTACGTTGAATCGTACAGAGTGATGCAAAATGTAAGTACCAAGTTTAAAAGTTTCTCTGCAACAAGTGATGAAAATTTGAAGAACCTTTGCTGACACACTGCAGTACACAAACCATTTATCTATCATTTGCTTTGTTCGGTATTGTACATTACTGAGCAGTGGATATTCATCATTGAATATTATATTTAATTATCTGAAAGGCTGGAAGAGAGTTCCAGGTAACGTTTGACATCAAATTTGGATTGGACAGGCACATATTTCTAAAACTTTAAATTTTACAATACAGGATGAATTTTGGATGATTAATCTCAAAGCTGCAGATATGAAACAGCAAAAACTGAAATAATTCTTCAGAAAGTTTGAAGGAAAACACATTGAACACATTTTAAATATAAATGACCTGAGATGCTGATTTGAATGAGACTTTTATGCCTCATTGTTTAGGTGAAATAAAGCATTAAACTTGGTAGGTACATTTTGGACCATTCTGTAATTAATACTTTGCTTTCTGTTGTATAAAATTTTTTGTAACTATTTACAATAATGTTCATTAGAAATGTTTTCATGTATTAGCATATTCCCAGCTTCTAGTTAACAAACAATTTTTAGAATGAGATGCTTGGAAGAAGACATGTATCACAGACAACAAATTGATTGGTTTGTCACTGTTTGCTAGTAATGAATTATTATTTAAGCAGCCTTCATAAAGCCTGCTTTCCTATTGCACAAGTTTCAAGTCATACAGATCTTGTGTTGTAGGTTCTGTTTTTATGTAATGTAAGTTTATAATCTAACAATGAATTATAACAATTTTAACCTTTATCAACTGTTTAAAAAATCATGAAACGAAAAGTAAAGATTACTGATAGTCACTAAATCTACGTTATTATTTTGTTATGTGCAGCAGACTATATTATGGCAGACTAAGAATGAAAAGTGATGCTTTCTTGTATTTAAGATACCAACTGACAGATTTTAGATCTAATTGAATTTAAGAGTATGTTTGTGTGTACATACTGTCTGTCTTGAGCAAATTACTTTCTGTTGCTATACATTGAACATGTTAAAAGAATTATGAGGTATTCAGAATTATACCTGTTAGTCAAATGTTGATAGATGCTGTAATGGAATGGCCTGAGTGAAGGACAATGTGCATTATACTAGTAGCTTTATTGTAGCATATGCTGAATCTGTTACAGGGAACTACAGTTGCCTTAAAGTGGACCTGATATTCACGCGTGACCGAGCATTTTACTTTACAACTGTTTTCATACCAGGCATCATATTGGTAACATCATCTTTCATCACATTTTGGCTCGAATGGAATGCTGTTCCAGCACGAGTCATGATTGGTAAGGTAACATTTTACTTGCTGACAATATGCATGTTTACAAATCCCAGATAACTTACAGGAATAACAAGTGTTGTTGTGTAATGTGTCCAGTATACTGTCAAAGATATCAAGTAACTGAATAAAATTTGAAGCTTTCATGACTGAATGCAATGAAATGTTCTTGAGCGATAATGATGTCAGTATGGAATAAGTGTCCATTTCACAGCTTAAATTATGATTTGAAACATTGGAAACTGATCTATATTTTAAACTATTTTTGGAATTCTTATTGGAGACATAGCTGACAAAATTATGTTGAGACAAGACTAGAATGTTGCTAGTAATCAGTTAGAAGAATGATTCAGCAGCCCTGTTCTGTGTTGCTGAAAGTGTTCCAGCGTCAAGATGTAAGGAGTTACAATTTTAAATAACTTACATTCATCTTCTTCTTGAAGGCGTGACAACAATGCTGAACTTTTTCACCACCTCAAACAGTTTCCGAGGTACATTACCTGTGGTGTCCAATCTAACAGCAATGAATGTCTGGGATGGTGTATGTATGTGTTTCATATACGCAAGTCTGCTGGAATTTGTATGTGTGAATTATGTGGGACGAAAACGACCACTCCACAACGTGGTGTATCGGCCCGGAGAGAATCCAGTGACACAGGTAAGACATCTGTTTCTGCCAAACTTAAGAGTTTTGTGTGTGATTGCCCATGGCTTTTTTGAGTGAGGTTGATTGGAGGCTTTGTGTCTACTGAATTATTAATAGAGATTAGAAGTTGAAATGTATTGTGATGAAAAAGAATGTCTTGCTGTTATTCCTGTATTCTACCTTTGTTTAAAAACAACTAATATTCCTGGAAAGATGGAACATACATCATCTTTAAAGCTTTGCATATTTAAATACTAGGTGTGAATAATTAAATTTTTTAATCACACATCTCTCAAACTACATCAGTTGCTTCCAAAACAAGTCTCCATCTTTTAATCTGTGTGAATGAATGTTTCAAATATGTTCACCTTGTGCTGGGTCTCTTTCTTTGTTTCTCACATTTTCTTTGCACAAGTAATGATTTTTAAAAGTTGTACTCCTTCACATAAACTAGTGTGTACCAGTAGAAATGAATAATTGATGAGTACAGTAGTATGCATAATCTGAGACTATGCTAAAACCAGAAAGGCATAAGCAAGATTGAAACATGTTTTCTTTTTTCGTGTCTAAATACTTTTATATTATGTCATTAGTAGTCTTCTGGGTTGTGATGACATAATTTTGGTACCCGCCTACAAGTCCACAGTACCACAACCCAAAAGATTAGCATCAACATCTTCACCACCATGAGAACCTCTGATCTCACTTTTATTTTACATATTCCTTGTGATGCACCTTCTTGACTTTGTGCCAAAGAAGCTGGAAGACAGTGGAACAATCCATGATTCCAACTTATTTTTACTTAATCTGATGTATGTGGCAGGAGGGAGCCAAATACTTATTATGAAATTAAGAATCAAAACAGCAGTTATATATATATATATATATTACATCTATTCTAGTAATAATATTGGGATATTTTGTGATAGAAAGAGATGTGCAGGTTTTGATCAACAATTTTACTGCACCCAGCAAGGAGGAAGGGCAAACATCACAACATATAATATAATATAATATGCCTTTGCTTACATTTTGCCTTTAGTTACATATTTTGTAATCTTGTCTTGTTTGCCAAGTTGGACACTTGTCATATATTTATAATATACAGTTGTTCAGAATAGTGTAAAATTTTTAGGAGCCCGGGCTGGATTTGATGTATTTGTTTGCCTTTAATATAATTGAATCTGCATTATACACATTCTTTTTAATCATAATCTGATGTATGTGCGTGTGATGAGGATAACACCGTTTCACAGTTTGTTTGGTGAGATGTGTGACACATGTCTGTCCTGTCTCCTCTTTCTCTCTTCCTGCATGTCTTCTATTGCATGTTCAGGACTTACTGTTATTGCCATACCATAAAAATTACAAAAATAACACATTAAAATAATTGATATCACCACGGTAGATGCAGTTGCGGGTTTGCAGGAGTGTATTTCATTATTATAAAATTATTCTTTTATTTAATCCCCATTTCACAAAAGTCTAGACATTTAATTTTTGTAATAATATTAATGTCCTAATTCTATAAAGGAAAACTTAACAAATTTTGGATCTGTCTGCTATAATGCAAATAATATTCTAATTTATCAGTTTGTGCTAAAAAATGCTTGAAATTGCACCTCTCCTCATGAAATGATGATGACATTCTTCTAGAATGTTGCACCGTGTAGTCCGGTAGAAGTTTACCATTGTTTCAGAGGTGCTTACTGCCTCCATCATGAACGTATGGTTGAGAATTTGGAATCTCACCACATTAAATGTTTATAATTAATTTTTTCAATAAATATAAGTATTAGTAGTAACGAGTCATGTAATGAATGATGTTAACTTTATCTGGCATAGACCAGTGATATGAAGATATGTCAGGTACTGAGTCGTATTTGTAGCATGTGATGTGAATTTGAAGAGTCTGCTTGTTTCTTCACTTGAATGTGTCAAGTCTCTAGCAGGAAAAAGTCTGCATGCCCTTTTCTTCGGGAGTGGGAAGGAGGCGAATCTTATTTAAGTTACTTATCTCTCTTCTTTAGTAACTTGTACATTTTTTAGCTTTTTCTTCTCTGGCTAGAGCTTTAGACATTACAAGGTGTCAGCAGGCTTAGAGTTGTTATAGCACTTAATGATATTCTTCCAGTTTATCTCTGTCATTATCTAAGTTTGAATGTAAAGTAGTTACAGGTGTATAGCTTTCATTGTGATGAGGGTTGTGTGTATGTACATATTAAGGCAAGTTTCTGTGCTTAATGCTGGTGCTTGATCCAGCTGAGTGCTTTGTGCTAGAAAGGAACAGTTTGGCAGTTATACATAGAGTACTGCTCGAGATGAAAATTAGTTACTGGGGTTATGGTCTTGAATCCCACTCACCATTTTAACCTTTTACATGTTCTCAAGTTGTTTTGTATTTGATTTGGTCTTTCATTGTCCATCTGCTTAGCTATAAAATGGCATTAAATGAGCATCACTTCTATATTGTACATGTATATGAACACATCAAAACATGTAATAAGCTATGGGTGTACACATTTATTTTATATAGTAATTGCAATGAGAGATTCATTTTCCAAATATTTCTTGGGATAAAATCAAGGACTGGTGTCTCTACCGTGGATTATTCCAGGCTTTTACGTTACATGATTATGATATTTAACTTTTTCAGTTAGCATGACTGGCAAACAGATAGACTTAAGACTAATGTTTCTGAGAGAACATCAGTAAGTGAGACGAATTAGCCATGTTTTCAAATTGTACAACATTTTAATGAAAATTCTTGAATTGGTAAGTCTGAGTTACACAATTACAAAAGCTTCAAACCAGTCTTGGCATCATAACTGAGTGTAGAGACAGAACCCATATGTTTTACCCCCAGATTCATTTGGTATATGAATACTTGTATGGGGTCACCAATTAAGGATTCAGCTCTGTCCTTTAGGATAAACGTAACCTCATACTATATGCATAATAACAATATAATATAGTTTACATAATAGTTTACACTACTAGTATTTGCATAAAAGTTCTTCATTTGACAGTAGTAGGGGAGCCGGGGGCAGAATGGGGTATAGGCTTTATTTCGTCTGCAATGCGTTGCCATGTATCGGGACGGGGTGAAATTTCATTACCATACTTCGCAGGAACACGTCATGTCAGTCAGCGCCACCTTGTGGTTACAATTTTTGAAATAATCACACTTTCTGGATTTTACTGCGGCATTTTTGAAATTTTTCTCAACTTCCAGTGAAGGTAAGACCTATCCATTATTCATATCCACTTTCTTAAATGATGCAGGTTACAAGGTGTTTTCTTGAAAGTCTTAAACACAATATTTTTATTTATTTTCATGGTGTCATTTTTGGTGGGGCAATCCTAACCTGAAAGAGTATACTCGGGACAGGATGGGGTACCCCATTTTGCCCCGAGTGAAAGTAGGGAAGAGGATCAAGTTGACGAGTGCCTGTATCGTGGCGATGTCTATTCGCAGTCTATTGAAGGGTGGATCCGGTGTTCCTCTTGCTTGAAATGGGCCCATAACTCATGTGCAGGTGTTGGTAGTCACGATGATGAAGAAGTGCGCATGTGTGCCGTCTGTATTAGGCCTAAGTAGATTTCAAATGTGTAAAGTTTCGACATTTTACATTGTATACTAAATCATTTTTATATCCTACGTCTTAATTATTAGATAATCTGTGTCTTCTTACAACTTTTCAAACATATATCAACCATATTCCGTCTTGCCCCTGGTACGGGGCAAAATGGGGCAAGTTACATTCTTGTAAAGAAATTAATATTTAAAAAACTCTAACTCTTACAATTAAACTAAAAACTCATTATAAATCTCAAATAGACAATAAATCCACACAAGGTTCCTCCATGTGTTTGTCTTTGTTATTATCCCTTCCACATGCCTCCAAAGATTAAGTTCCCGATTCTGCCCTGAGCTCCCCTAATTTCTGATATGTAACAAAATAAGACCTTTAAAATTTTAATGAGTAATATCAAAATTCAGTTAAGTAAATTTAGTATTGTACGTAAATTTTTAAACACAACTGTAATGCACAGCTGTAATTTCAACAACATTGATATATTATGTACTTTGAGTAAAACTGATTGCTTTTAGTGGATAATTAATGCCAAACATCACTCTTTTGTAGTGTAAATATTAAATATTGTATGATTTTTGTTTGGACAATATAAATATGTTATTTTTAATCAATAATTTTTAAGCCAGTCATTTTACAGGTATAAAAGTATACTGTAATAAACAAAGATTTGACGTCTTTGCTGTAGCAAATAATAAAACACTTTTGTCATAGATTTTAATATGAACAACTGTGTAATGTAATAATGTTGCTTAACTATGATATAAACACACTGAAATTAAAACAAATATTGCATATGCAAGTATAAACTTATGCATATATACTTTGCATTTGCATTGATTAATGGAAATTAGTAAAATAGAATGTAACTGTAGAATTGTTCTTTGCAAAATAATACAATGGACTCTTCATTTATAAATTGAACATATAGTCATAAAACCACAGTTTTCTTGTATAACAATGGAGCATGGATTGGTTGTTAATGAATAATTAATATAAAGCTTGATTTAATAAGAATCAGGGAAACAGTGATTTATGTGATATCAGCCCAGTGTTATCATGAAAAACTCTATTCCCACATTATGAATTAAGGTGCACCAGCACTGAAGCAGAAATTGTTTTCCCAGATGAAACAAACTAAGATGAACTGAGATGCTTGTTTACAAGGGGCACATTGTGACAGCTGAGATAATACAAGGCAATATTTCTCCAAGGAGACAAAGGTTATATCTGAATCAAATTTGAACTAATATGTGCAGTATTATTTGTCCAGTATTTGATTCAGTACAAATTACCTCAAATTTTGGAGAAATGCTACCATAATTAATCTTAGTTTTCACTTTTATGAATGTTGTGCCATTCGTGAACATGTTGAGCCTTGTGTTTGTATCCTGTTCCAGCGACTGCCAGCCGTTCTGAGCAGGATAGGCGTTATAATGGCAAGCCCGCTGGTAAGACAGGTAGCACATTCGATTCGTAGATGTGCCATGCAGCGCTGCCAACCAAAATCAAACAAAAGATTGCATTGCAAAACGCATCGCATCTTGCATGTTTTGGGGACCTAACTTCTGAAAACATATGCAGACTGTACCTCTGTTTATTACTGTGGTAATACACGTGTATGTATGCATGTTGCCAATGCATGCTGCCTCCAAGACAAAGCCAGGACAGACCTTGAAGGCATGGCCCTAACAAAATTTTCAGAATTTTTTTTTCACACATCTGAAAACAGTCATATTTTTAAAGGACTGAAAATCATTATTGATTAGTTCGCAATGCGGAGACATTCTGCTGTGAGTTATAGGCATGTGTTAGAGTAGAGTGGAATGTTATAATCTCATGAATTGATTGAAAGCTTGTAAAAAAATGTAAGAACATAGGAAAGACTACAAAGATGTACATCTTTGTTCTTTTAATGATGAAAGTAAGATGCATCATTATTAAACATTGTACTTCAGGTGATGCATGTTGTTGTTACATTTTCAATTAAGAGAAAATAATTATTCAGAATTATATCTAGTGCTGCAATCTTACACGCTGATATTATGCTAATGAAAAGTAGTTAAAAAAATTAAAATGGCTTCTCATATTAAATATTGTTTAAGAGTAGGTCATATTATAAAGAAATAAAATATCTTTTTTTAAATTTTATACAGATAATAAATATTATGTGTAGTTAAAGGAATTCGGGTGCTAATCTGATGTTTAGTTCACCTGTTAAATGACATCTCATATTGGCCATTATGTAGCTCAGGCTATTAAATGTCATTTTCTCACTGCATGTGTTGTGATCAATCTCAGGAAATTTTGTGTGGGATTTGTAGTCAGCATCCATGGCTGTGGGATAGGTTTTTCTTTACATATTATATATTTATTCTTCCAGTCATCATTCCATCATTGTTGCTCATTCATATATCAACTCTACTGAAGTAAGCATTAAACTTATCATAACCTTGATCCCCTTGATGGGCTTAATTTCTGCCATGGCATTTTACTGTACTCAGAGTTTGAATTTTAGTTTTATATTTCATATCACAATATTGACAGTGGGGTGCAGAATTATATAGAGAGCATATAGTATTTATGTAAGTGCTGTATCTCCTCCTAAATACTTCCATATTGACACTTATGAGAATTAAGAGAAATGTCTGCGTTGGTCTTCTGGGTTGTAATGTGTGGACTTGTAGGCAGAAGAGCGTATTGCATTCTTATGAGATTTGAGGTTTTTGTGACGATGAGGATATTGATGATAATGATGCTGTTCTTCTGGGTTCTGGTGTCGTGTAAACTTGTTGATAGAGGCCATTGTTCTGGAGAAACATACTGTCTCTATCTTCAGGACTTCAACCTTAAACATCTACATGGCATTATAATCTAGAAGACCAACATTGACATCTTCACTTCCATGAGAACTTCACATTTCATTAGAAGAATTTAAATTTAAATTATAGAAAATTTAATGTTAAAAACTATTTAAAATGAATTGGCTGAAATTACCCAAAGTATTACTCACACTTTCCATCTGTGCTGAATTCTATTTTCTCTTAAATTTCAAAACACCAAATTGTTCTTGTCATTAGTGCATGTCAGTTTCAAAGAAGATATGTGAGCCATATGTGGCTCCTGTTATTTGTTTAAGCACTAACTGTTGTGTGTGATATTTGACAGATGGTTCAGCTGTCAGATGATTGTAATGACTGTGTATATGTATGCATGGAAACTAGGCATTTTAGTAATTATGAGGTGAAATAAGCATTCGGGATAATGGTGCTTTCAGATATAAGAACCTGTGGTACATGAAGTAACATTTAAAAGTTTCTTCCATTTGAAGTTACTACTAACTTTTCAGTGCTATATTATTTTTGTTTCTTTTGGTTCATATACTGTAAGTATTCTGTCCTTTCTCACCTTATTTTTGAATTACATTATCAGGCTCTTTCTTTATAATCTCCATATCATTTGAAGTGACAACCGATGCTTCTGCTGTTCTGATGAACACAGAAATTAATAAATGAAGCAAAATTTGAATAATTTCTTTAATGATGATTTTTTTTTTAATTTTTCTGTTGGTATGGCCACCCATCCTTTTAACAATTGTAAATAATTACATGTTTTCACTGTATTAGCAAGAGTGGCTGTACATTCACTTTTAACAAACATGGTGAAAGCTGGAACACTTGATTGAGATGCGATGATGTAATGAGGTGTACATGGTGTTGTTTGTGTTAAATCATACTTCTCCATCCTCTCCCACAATGAGTCTGCATGTGCCAGTTGTGTTAAAATCAGTCCTGGTGTTTTGAGTGTTAGCGTAGGATTCCCAGTCATTGCCATTGTTTTTAATCTTATAATTATAAACACACAGGTAATCTCACTACATTTACCTGATTGTATTTACTTACTGGCTCAGACCTAGAAATCAACATAATAATCATATTACAAAAATGCAGTTACTTTAATTACATTTTTGTGACTGTCTATCTATGTAACAATCAGAGCAACTGTGGCATTTGTCATAGTGATGTGTTACCTGTTCATTTCCCATGGAGAAGAAATCAGGGCTCAGTGTTTGCATCCAGCAATGTTCCTTGGTTTTCACTTGTATGTTCGGTGTTCCCTGGATTTTGTCCGTGCCTAGCATTACAAACAGTGTACGGTATTTCAGAAATTGGACGTGTTTCCACCCTGAGGTGGAAAGGTGGGGAATTCCTCCTTACTTGGGCCTGTTAGAGCTAATTGCAATTACTGGGTTTATTGACCAGTTACCAAAAGATTGGGTTCTGTTTGGAACGCTAGACAGTGCACAAAATCCATTAACCAAGTAATACTAACTGCAATATATCATTGTCAGAACAATTTAGAATTGATTTATATTATTAGTTTTAAAAATGTCTTCACTGCTACACCTGTGATAAAGTATACAAAACTATTTTGTGTGGGTGATAAAATATTATGTCTTTGGGACTCGTAAGAACAAATTTTATAGTTGTATATTTTATTGGATCAGTTGTGATCACCTGTTTTTAAATAACGCATGTGGAATTTTATTGATGGCTTCTGTAGGCAAAGGAGTTAAGTTTTAAATAGAAATAATCCAATATTTTAACTCTAGAATATAGTAACAATTACAAGGTTAAAACACATAGATTCGTTTAGCTAGTCATCTTAGTTTCAGATTTGTGACCCGGTTTAGTTTTCTTCACATATGTATTTAGATGATGGGGTAAAGTTAAGACAGCTTGGTTTTAAAGTAGGTCATTTCTGTATTATCTTAGAAGAGAAAGCAAGCAGAGGAACTGTTCTCATCTTAAATTATATAGCACATGCTCACAAAACACAAAGCAGAGTGTGAAAAATCTTCATTGCATGGATATCTCAGACTTTGAGTTGGAGGTTCCGTTGTGCTGTATTGTTACATTTGAGCATGTGCTTGCTTATTCTAGTGGTTGTTGCTACTGTGTCTGACTTTCTCTGAAAATAACAATATATTTTATTGTTCTTTATTGGTCTGATGCATTTTATCATTGCATGTATAAATGTTGTCCTCTGAAGAACTGCTTAAAGACATTTTGAGTGTTAAATCAGCGATTGTAGAGGTGTGTATGTTAACACTTCCGTGCACCTCAGCAAGAGGGTTGGTGTTGTATTGGAACAAAACATACATGACTGAAACACTATAAATTGCAAAATATTCTAGTGTGGTAATGAAGTTTAGTATTATGATCATTACTGTACATTTTAAGGTCTTCATTTGTTTCCATATAGGTTGTGACATCAGTTTAAATGGTTGCAGAGCTGTGTGTTGCAGATGGGATTTCCAGTGTGTTCTAGGTCATATCAGCTGTTAAACATCTCTCTCTCAGAACCTGGTCCTAATAATGTAAATTTAATCATTATGACACATGTGCCTAGTAGACAGTGATATGCAGGGTTAGATGAACAACAGCATTACAGACAAGATATTGTTTTGTAAAGTACACCAGCATTTTAGTCTGACTCTGTCACAATCAGTTTAGCCCATAATATCAACATATCATTTTTTAAAGAAAGCCTCTGTATGTGTGTTTACAGCTGAAAGTTGCAGAGATGCATTTATTATGTTCATGTGTGACAGTGTGTCACCGCATAGCAGCTTGAGAGTTGCTGAGTGGTTTTCATTAAATTTGACATTGGGGACTTTTACTAAAATTTGTCAGTATGTTCCAGTTTTGGTCAAAGTAAAAGAACAATAATGGTCACTTTCCATGAAGGCCTACATTTTCTTTCGTTTGTGGAAATAACTGGATTGGGGAATCCCTATGTGGAGAATCTCATGTCAACCTCGCAACAATGTGTGGGAATCTCCAATGATATTACCAGCCAAGCAGCACCAGACACCATGCCTATGCAAAGACCATTGACGGCAGATAATTTTGGCATTATTGATGCCGTTGTGAAAGGTGAAATTCTGGTGAACGTGCCCAAATTACTGTGCTACACAAACATTTCCTTACTTGTTTAATTTAAAATAATGATACATGTCATAATGTTTAAACATTATTAATACCAGCTGTTAATTGGTTGGATTTTGTCTTGAGCCAGCAGACAGAGAACATTTTTAAAACAATGCATAGCGTCATCTGCCATGGAAACTTATGTAGATCTTGCTGCCACAGCAAAGGTAAGGCAGAGGCTCTGACGCATGAAATGCAGCCATTCAATTCACTTGAAAACTGCTTTCTATGTACAGGCATGACATATAGATGTGACATATAAAGGGTTAACAGTTAAGACCAACTTTAAATATGACATGTTAAGTTATTATTTGAAGCTGCATTCATCTGTAGGGCATGTCAGAGGTAAATTACAATTTGGTGTAAATAGTTTTCACGATATTTACTGAAATGAGTGCTTTATCTATGACAAGTCCATTAGCAGTATTAACATTCCCACATCCTACATCAGTAATAGCTACATCACAGTAAAGGGACAGATTTATTGTGTTGTCAAAAGGCTGCATTAGAAGCTTTGGGTTTGAGTCCCTAATCAGGAGGTGTTAATAAGTCACCTCCCTGCTGTGTGGAGCCATACAGCAAAGCGAGTCCCTAATCAGGAGGTGTCAATGAGTCACCACCCTGCTGTGTGGAGCCATACAGCAAAGGGTACAGACGTTTCTGCAGGCAATGGTGGCTCACCTCAGTCTGTACCATGTGAGAGAATGTGAGTCACCATTGGCTTCCATAAATGAGTGTGCATGTTACAGAATAAAGTAGTAATGTGTCTGATTCCTCGTCTTGTTTTAAACAGGTGTGCCAGAGAAATATGGGATCCCACAGTGAACTTCTAACATTATTGGTATTAATTATTATATGTTCTTTTTATTTAAAATAATAATATAGAAGACATGTCAGGGTCCAGTGTGGAATGTCATTACCACCATGTGCAAGAGTATGAAGAAGAGCCAGTTACAAATTTTTCAAAAGTAACATTTAACAAATTGTGTCATTTAATTTAAGTAGAAAGTACATTTGAATTACTCTAAAAGTAAACTAAAGGCTTCTTGCCTTTTGGTATGTTTAGTTTTATTTGTGAGCATTGAATTTTTATTGTTTATCGTCCATGCATTGCAGCTTACGCACGATTCAGCCGTCCATGCATCACACTACCATAATGCTAAACCTTTACCGAGGAGTTACATTCTGGCTGGCAGCCCCATAGTGTGGGGTTTAAATCCCCTATTCATATCTGTATGATAAAAGTTGATTGGAAGTAGAGCATACATATTGCATACACATGGAACAAGGCTGTTCTTGCTTCCTCTTGCACAGATTATGACTAGTTTCAGCTTTAAGTTGAACTGTTACATCTATACTGCATCCATACAAACATTCATCACACATGGATTATGAAATTATATGTTTGTTAGCTAATTGGATTGATGGGAGATTTGTTATCATGTGGAAGAAGAGTCAAAATCTCAGTAAAAAATACAAAACTCTTGTATCAAATACAGGGGCAGATTAAAACTGCTTTGATTTTGGCATAATCTTAACACATTGGCTCCCAAACAGTTTTTATCATGTATACATTTTGTCCCGTGACCCACCAGTGACCCTAAACAAAATAATTTAAAACTCTTATTCTGTTAACCATGTGACACACTGGAGGCTGTCACAAACTGCATGCATATTTCCCGTCCCAGCTGTGGTGTTAGAAACGCATTATTTCACTCCATCGATACTGAGCCTTCGTATAATGGAAAAGACCCGTTGCCCACTGTGGTCTCTTATGGTACTGAAATAAATTGCCATTGGTGTCACTCATGGTAGCCAACATGTTAAGATATGCTTTCAGTGATAGTGGCACCTGGAGGAGGTGGAAGTTTTCTGCCCTTTGTATGTGGGTCTGCCCTACCGAGGGCTGACCTCCAAGACAGTACATAGTAGAGTATGCTGGAAGCTTCTTCATCCTCCTGAATGATGTGCTGTGTTGTAGCTGTGTAGCGCAAAACAAGTGCTTTGTTTGCTAGCTTCATAGCTTGTGCTGCTGCTTGCCAAGGTTGTTAGTAGACTGCTGCCTGAAGTCAAGTATAGGAGTTGGAATGGGAGGGGGGTCAACATGCTGGTTTTTGAACGGTTTTAGTTCTATCGCATATTTTATATTGGTCTCGGCTCTATCAGAATTTGTTCTGGTGCTGCAGTATTGGGAGGTATAGTTAGCTTGCTGTGCATGGTTTTACAATCTTACCATTTTTCTAATGAATAGTATATTTGATTTTTGGTATGGTTAAGGTATTAGACTCTAACTTTGGGACAAAATATGTTGGGTGCTGGAGAATGCAGCATTGTTTGCACGTTGATGTGACACCACTGTAAATTGATACATGAACTAATCTCATTCACTTCTCATAAATTGGTAGTAGTTCATATCAATTTGAAATATCTTCATTTCTAGTTTGGTGTTACTTTTATTTGCAACCATTTTGCATACTGCTTTGAAATTTAGAGTTTTAGAACTTGATATAATTAGTTGCATAGCCTGTGAATCTATTTTGTTGCAGTATTTATAACAATATTTATTTATGACAAATGGTTGCAAAAGAAAGTTGAATTGCATAAGTAAAACCCTCACTGTTCTAAATGTAAATAAGCTTATGCAGATGGCCATGTAGATTTCACACAGAACCAACAGGCATTTTCTGCAGGATTGGGCCATGCTTTTAACTTACATGTCAATGTTCTGTAAAATTGAGAAGTTGAGTAATTACAGTTGAAATGCTGGTCAATTTGTAGTAAAGAAGTTATTCTGTAGCATTTGAGCTGTCCCTGTACATTGACCTGCATTGTACTGTTTGACTCTGCAGACCATTTCTGTGCAGCATTTCTTACTTTGTAATATGTTTCGAATTATAAACATACATTTGTTTGTGTGCAGGGTGACAAAAACAAACGGGAGACTTCTGGTCCAAACGAGATTGTAAGTTGCACAAATTGTGGTCCCAACCCATGTACACATACAGCCAACAATGGATGTGCTACTGAGGTGTGTACTAGAAAGTTCTCTTTCACAAACACAATAAATGATATAATCAGTCATTTAATGTACGAGGACCTATGATTTTTTTATTATATTGGGATTTGTAGGAGAGAGAGTTTTCTTGCAATTTGGATTAACAGCTGAAAACGATTTTAAAATAAAATTAGATTCCATGCTTAATATTTGTAGAGAAGTAAAATGCACTTGCCAGCATTTACATGCCCATTAGAACATTAATATACAGAGATTGTCTATTTCCTCATAGGTGCGAAAGAAGGAACCTCCGCATCCAATCCGAGTGGCAAAGACCATCGACGTCATTGCAAGGATCACATTTCCAACTGCCTATGCTGTCTTTCTTATCTTCTTTTTCATTCACTACAAAGGATTCTCATAAGAATAGTGGTGGAACAAAACAGTGTCCGTGCAGTGTTGCCATTTCACAAAGGATCATATTTATGTTGGCTTATTGCTGGTACTTGAGTTTGGACAGTGTACAGGGTTACTCATAAATTATCAGCACAGATTATCTTAACAAAATAATCTAATAATTGTTAAATAATCTAGTCAGTGTAATTTTCAATTACAATTTCTCTGAAGCAGTGTCCTAATAGGACTGTGTCAGTTTTATCAGTTGAGGAACACAGAGCTGTGGAAAGTAAAATGTGTTGATGATTGGTGTCGTCCTGTTAGGTGTGTGGATGGTCGTGATGCGATATTCTAGTCAGCAGATGTCATTATAGCAATACTAACTGAAACACAACCAAGCTGGTGTGGATTCTGCATATTTAAATATAAGTTTAAAGTATATGAAATGCCTGTCACTCATGAGGAGGATGCTTTGTTACATTCATGAAGCCAGAGAGCTTGATGTCTTTTGTGATAGCTTCGGCTATAAACAGTAAGGTAAGTATTATTTTATTGTAAAGAAGACATTTGAAGAAGATTATATATAATGTTTGTGCATCTTTCATTATATTGTCTTGCCATTTCCAGTGACTATTTCTGGTGGAACATTTGAGGTTAACTTATGTGGCTGGCCAAAGGGAGTTTTGGTTGAACAATTCAAAGATATTAAGTAGATGAAGTTTTAGATCACCAAAATAAGGTAAGGCTTATGAGCACAAGGATGTTAATGCATAGTGAAAGGGAAAAATAGTTTTTGTTACTTTTTAAAAGGAGAAAAAATTCCTTTCTGAGAAAAATTGATGAGAAAATATCTGATAAGCCATAACTGGATCAAAGTAAAACAATTTGTTTTTACATGATGGATATAAGTACTGGTGATTTTCTGTCTTAATATTGTCTTTTTTCACTTATCTAATGTCTAATGTCAATACTCATTACATTCATTATTCATTTATGTGAATTTTGATAAGGTATCAATAAGTGCTGTATTTAGTCATACCTTGTTTTGATATAGTTAACAGAAAAATCTGTTTTGAAGTATGTTAACATTCTCTAAAAGAATTAGTGTTCTTCCATTTAAAAATGATAGCTCACTGATATTCAAATAGCAGGCACCAAAGTGCATGTAATGAGCTGTTTGAGTTACCGTTATTTTTGAATGGAAAATCTGAACATATTCCAAATGCTGCATATTTTGTCAGCCTCCATCAGGGTCTTTGAATATTACCAATTCTATTGTCTGGAGTTACATCATTCAGCTGTGGACATATTTTAATACTGTCTACATGAAAATCAGTTGACAAATGACTTGTTGCTTGATGTAGCTCCTTGCAGCACCAGCTGGTCTTAGTGTCTGTACAACCCAGCACAGCGTCACATGTACCCACCTTTACAATAATATTTTACATTACCACGACCCTATTTGAAGATGCCAAAGCTATTAAAAGCAACTTTCTTACATTAATTATTGTACCAGTATTGTGCTCGACACTATCTATTGTATCAGGATATATTTTATACAGGCCTACTTGGCATTTTGGTAGTTAACAGTACTTGCATCTTCAGCTTATTGTTGTTATACTAACTGATTTTGTTTTTATTTAGAAATTGGTGATAAGGTTTTAAATCAAACACAAGACTAGACAAGTAAGCTAACAAATACACCACTAACGAAAGGTTTGGGCTAGTTGTTATAGATGCTTGTCAAATAATGTGCTTGTTTAGTTATGCTTTTTGCATTACAGTTATGAAGTCCTTTAAGCCTGGAATAGCATGTGTTGGTCCAAGCACTTCAGTCTGTGGTGGTGTTTGGGATCATTAGAATATTAAGTTAGCACATTAACTGACAACCAGTCACTTGGAAGCAGATGTAGAACCAACTACCAATACATCATGAATTTCAAATATACCTGGGACAATGGATAATGTCAAACATAACACTAGTATGATGAATAAACCATTGTCACAAACCTTTAGAAAATCATTATCACTCTCAGGTCCGACGTTCATGTTCCGTGGTGTGCGCATCATTGTGTTCTAGCAGCAAGGTGCCAGAGTGATGTTTCATCTCATACCTCTCAGCAAAGCTGGTCACTTACATCATGTGAAGTGACTGCAGAGCTTCTTTAAATATGAACTCTTTTATTGCTATGTTAATGTTAGTGATATGCAGCATCAGTTAATTTACAATGAGTGGACAATGCTGTGATTGTATTAGATTTGGGGTTCTCATATCAGTAAAGGCTTCAGTGTTGATGTTCTGGATTGAAAGGCTATGTAGACTTCAGCCCTGAAGATGAAGGACTACCGGGTCATAATATCCAAACCAGGAACTACAAAAAGCATTCAAGCCATAATTGAATTATGAACATGAAGTATGTGTATTTAAAACCATTGGTATATCATACAATGTAAATACATACACGAATGTAAAATTAGTATAATAGTGAAGTAAGGATGTAAATGTTCTGATAATTTCCTTTTAAAATTAGATAAGTGTTTAATTGGCGAGAAGGTGTTGTTTCAATAGAAGCTGTGCTTCAGAATGTTTTGTTAATTACAATGGTGTGGTGGACACTTGCTGCCATAAGAGCCTGAAATCTCACCAAGCAGATAAATGGATTAAAAAGGATGTGGTAAATTAATGTTGTTGAATAATGTGTGGTGGAAAGTCGCCTGCAGATGGCACTAATCGCCAAAACATCATGATTATTGAATATTTCTGTATAATGTGTGCTATAGACTGAACAAAAATTTCACTCCAGCTCTGGATGATATATTTTGAAATGCTAGATGAAACATCACTTTATTTTAAAGTACGGGATACTTTAAAATGTTTGCTGCTGGATTAAATAAATTAATTACATTCTTAATTTATCTCTTACTCAAAGTTGAATTGATACATTTAAAATTCTGTGGGATTATATGGGCTGGAAATTTGCAGCATGACCACTGCCCTCAGTCCCTTGGGTGATAAATGAAGAGAAAGTGTATGAATTGATGTGTCCACAGGAAAGAATTGTGAACACATAGCATGTGTATATGAATGTATTTTGCCATTTTTGGCATTTTGAATCTGTTGGGCTCGAACAGTACTAGTCATGTTCTTTGTTATTGTTTATTTTGGAGTATATATGATTGTTATGAATGGTTGACGTTGAAAATGTGAGTTCTTATTTTGAGATATTTATTCTGTTGCTAACTTTTATAGTCTTCGTTATAAGCAGTTCTGTACAATACAGATATTTTAATATTTAATAATGTTTTATCATATTAATGCAGACACTCATGTATGTGCAGTTTCTTTTTCACATTGTATGTGGTAATCAATATACAAGACTTATTATTATTCTACTACTGCTATTATCTTGTTGGTTAGACATATCAGTGGTTTGAATAGGCAGCTGTGACTTTAAAGATAGTCCTCCATTTAGTGCAATTAAGTTACTTGTTACTGACAATTTTTCTTCAGTCATAGCTGCCTCACACTACACCTCATAGTTACTGCAGGTTCTTGTTTCCAATTTATGGACCCTGTCTCTAGATCAGAAGATTTGAATCAGTTAAAAACTCATTCATTCATTCTCCTCATTTAAAGAAATTTAATGGGTTTTAATTGAAAGTTCAGATGACTGAATTGACCTTTGGTTGTTTATTGATTTCATCCACAGTTGTCTTAGGAATATTTAAAAAAAATTCTTTCCTCTTCTCTGCGTAAGATGTAAAACGTTTTACTTTCTTTTTCATTTGTATGAACTTAACCAAAACAATTACAGAAAATTTTCAGGTATTAGGTTGTTATTTAATGACCTTTCACACCTCACATAATTTTTAAGTTGTAGGATTAATAGAAATACTAATGAATTTCAAAACTAGGTGCAACATTCTGAAGTATTTAGTGAGGAACAGATACATATAAATAAGGAAATTTTTATATCTGTGGCATGTGTGTATTTCTCTCATCTCATTTCAGATGGTCATGAGATAGTAACGCTTATCAATTCCCTCATTGATGAAAGTGTTACAGTGGGATATGGAAAAGTACCATACCCTGTTAAATATCTCTGTAAAATGAGCAGTTCTCATCATGCTCCATGTCACAGCATCCAGTTCACATCAGAGTAGTTTCATATTCTGATCTCACTTATTTTGATTCTCTTAAGAATACATTGCCATACACCATATATAAAAATCATGTTAGCTGCTGGTGTTTGTCTCTTTATAACACAACATAGGATAACAGGGGATCATTGGATGATTGTTTAGTTTTGTAGCTGACAGTACTTTGTTGTGCTGTGGGAATGATGTATACCTAACTGGAAGTATTTTCACAAAATGTTTTAAAAGAGAGTGGCCACATTCTTATTGTGTATACTGACTGATGTCAGAAGGTGGTGCTAGATGATACATGTTGAACATTTAAATGATTTGGTGCATCTGTCTCATATTGAGGATCCTTTGTATTGGTTCAGGCCATAAAAGAAACTGACTCCATAAAGCATGGTATTCAGATCTGTGGTAACATAACCTGGTTAATGATTTCTTGTGTAATTAAATATAAGCTTTTCAGACTGACATCAGAGGACCATTTAATAAATAGAAATATTTGTTATGCAGACATGTATACCACTTTTAAGTAGTTCTCAATATTCTGTGCTTTTATAAAAAGTAAATTAAAATTAGTACCACTGAAAGTATAGTTTATTTTAATGATCAAGGAAAATTTCTTGGCTGTTTAAATAACTAATTCTTTGCTGAATTAACTTCCATGTACATGAAAATTTCTATTTTGACAATTTTGTTTAGATCAGTGTTAATACATGATAATGAAATTTATAATTAGGGTTTCCCCTGCCTTCTCATAAGTATCCGAAGTGCCGAAAAGCTGAGTTCTGCCTTCTTGCATTCCGGCAAGTTTTCCTGTTAATGCTTTTCAGACAGGCAACAAGGAAGATTATTTTTTAATTTCTTCCTAAAATAATGCTCTACAAAACGCTTTTGCCACAAAGTTAAAAGCTGCAGTATTTGACAAAATGCAAGCTATTTTATCTGAGAAAAAGTACTTGTGACTGCTCTCAGGATTCTTGCAGAGTGGGTGAACATAACCGCAATGTACTAGAATATCTGTTGGGGTTTCATATAGATTCCTAAATATGAGGCAGACAGATGTGAATGTGCTGGCATCTATTCCTTGTACAGTTGCAGTTTAACACCGGTGTGGATGTTTTAGCACACATGCCCCTTCTTTCTGCCCCTCCTTGTATTGTCCCTGTGGCTACTACTATTGTAACTTGCTCAGATTAGTACTGATCTTATGTTACATTTCATAGCTGGGTCCAGCTTAAGTGTATAAAAATGAAGATAAATATCAGCCATGAGCCTTGATTCGAATTAGGACAGGGCCTTTGTATTAATTTCTAACCTTAAAACTTTGGGAGTAATATTTAATCACATATATATGTGAAGAAAGCACAGCTAAACCACATCTGAATTCAATTGTGGATGAGCAGCAATCATTACATTTCCTTTGTTCTTTTTATTACTTTCAGGAGTAATGTTATATGCATACTATTACTGACAAAATTATATATTTATGAACTGTAATTTGATACACTGGTACATTTATATTTGTGTAAAAACTGATTTGACCCTGTTCTTTATTACCCCAGTCATTGATGTGAACAAGCTTCATGGTAGTGGCACTTTGTCAGCATTGCAAAATCATACCCATCACTTTTAGTTTTAATGTTACCCTACCTTTCGTGCTTTACTGTTACTAAACTAAATATTGATGAATACATGGTGCATACAAGCAAACTGAATTTGAACAACAATATAAGGAATGAATGTGCAAAACAAATGGGGGAGAAAGTTACATGTGTTGATACCTGGAGTGTCCCATTAAATTATTGTTATTAATATAATAAATAAGTATAATTAATAAAACAAATTTTGTTTCCCTAATCAAATTTTAAATAACACTCACCCTTTGGCTTTCAGTTACAGGGGCCTCTTCTCCAAACAGTATTATCGGTATAAACTGTACCTATGCACTCAGATAGTACAATCACAACTGATATATAGCAGTAATGTCTCTTGGTTAACAAATCCGAGATACAACGAAATAGCCCTCACAACGAAATTGTTCTACTTGAGTATGTGCAGGAGCTTTGTAAAATGTACAAGTTTATAAAACCAGAACATAGTGGTAATACACAATTTCATTTTTACCTTGTTTTGAGGTAACTTTGAATTTTGAATTTATTAATATTATGAAGACAAACATTGTCGTGTTTTACTAAATTGTAGGAAGTTATTGGGATGACAGTTCAATTTGATTTGCATAAATTAAAATCTGTTATGAAGTCATATCAGAAGTAAATTGAGGTCTTTTTTTTTCCCAGGACATGATTCCTATTACACATAATGAATCTTAACACAGCTGAGAAGCACATTTATCCCCTCCTGTCCCTAGATTTGGTACAAAAGTAAGTGGCATTGAATCTTTTAGCTTTTCCTTGGTATGTTTTGACATTTTTATTGTTTTGTTCTTGATGAAATAAGGTTGGACCAATACAGATTAAATAGTTTATAGTTTTTAAATAATAAATTAAATTCTTTTGTGTTCAGATTTTATCAAAAGTTATTTAGTTCCTGCTTTTAAATGTGAAGTATTAATGTCTCCCCTAAATTATGTTAATATGGTAATGGGTTTGTTGATCAAGGGACAGGTTGTGTTTGTTTAAATATTAGTATAAAATGTTGCAAAATTTCATGCTGAATGAGCATTCTAAGGTAAAAAAACACTAAACTGCTGTATATGCATAATTTTTGTTGAGTGTTTGTATTACTGTTACGAGGACAGATGGTTCCCATTTCTACTTGATCATTGAAAAGTTATAAATCCACAATCTTTGGAGAGAATTTGGTTCAGTAGCTCCCAGTATTGAAACTTTTGCTCTGCTGTACCCATTTAAAGATAGTAACACAGGAGCTGCCAACCTTGAGATAAGAAACCTGTCTTGTATGGATAACTTACCTGTAGGGGTGACAGTAAGCTCTGTAAGTGTATAGAACGACTGTGACTGCTATTCATGTACTCAAATTTAAGCATTATAACAAATAATTCCCAATAAGTATGTCTTAGAGCCTTTGAATGCTATTTTGTTCTCAAAATTGTTTTGACATTTTCTCTAAAATTGATGGAAACACTTTGGTCACTGCTGTATTAGTTCATGATGGCAACAATTCAGTAAACATTTATACCAGTTTAGCTTAGAAATAGCAGGTTGATGAAGGCTTTTATTCAAAATTAAGTAACTAATTCCATGGCACTACACTGGACCATAACCTTACCCAGATGAATCCAGTCCCGACATTCTGTTTTCATCAGAAACATCTTAATACTATCCTTTATCTAAACTTAGATCCCCAGAGTGCTTCTAAAAATTAAAACCACTGTTCTCTGTCAAAGTATCCAAACTATGGAAAGCATTTGCCTACTTACACCTGAAATATAAATTTCATTACCGCTTTTCTTCAACCATATGGTTACTTCCTATTGGTTAGCACCCCATTCTTCTATTCATCCAACCACAATCTTCTCATCTGACTCATCTCCTTCTGCCAGATCTATATCGAGGCTTCTCAAACCCCCTATCCAAAGACATACCTTGAAGAGAGCTGCTGTTTGCCAAAACATTGAAAAATCTTGAACATTCAATATGACTTTTCGCTGAAAGCCGAAATTTATACATTAAATTCAACCTGCAAAAACATAAGGACAAGAATTACCTGTGATGTAAAGCATAGAAACAATTTGGCTTTTATGATAATTAACTTCTTACTTTTTACCTCATAAACACAAATAATGCACGAAGTAATATTGAGCTTCATGGATAGTATAATGAATGTACATGAACACCCTGTGATGTTTTAATTGAAACAAGTGGCTTTTTTGAGGCATTTAGCTCATGCAGAGGTAAGTGAAAATGGGGTTGCAACTCCTGACCTAATGTGGATACTTAACTTCTGCTTTTAAGTCCTCATTGTGAATGTGTCCATGCAGTTTTCAGATTGCCTCAAGTATTTCAATGGATGTTTCATGTGTTTCTATTATCAATGCCTTCAAATAACTATATATGGTAGAAGATGAACACACTAAAAAATGTGCACTTTTTACTCTATTTGATTGTTATGCATAACATTTTTGCTCGTATAGATTTATTACAACATACAACTATTGATTTAGTGTTGACACATTTTTAATATATAGCTTTGTATCTCATATATATATATTTGTGTGTTATAAACCATGACAGCACTTAAACAATGGTTGTGTTTGTTACCAAAATGTTTTACACATATTGAAATCATTGTAAATACCAAGCTGTACATAATTTCTTGTATATTTTTCTGAACATGATTTTCAATATAATATTACACAGTTACATCTTAAAAAACTGTCTTTTTCATTTCATAATCATCCCTTCCCAGTATTAGACTTTAGACAATACTGGTTTGGAATCTTTATATTACAATTCCCCAAAAGTAAGTTAGAGTGGCACATTATATAACTTAGTTGAATCTCTTTCTATCTGATTGTGCTTCATTTTTTCAGCACTTTTCGGCTTACAGGTCAGATACAAACTTTATGTGAAGCTTAGACTTGCTCTTGGAAGGCAAGGTAAAGATGTCCTTGTTCTTATCACTTGGCATATAATCACATAAGTGAGATTCAAGGTTCTCATTGCAGCTAGTATGAAGATGACTGTCTTATGGGTTTTTATGCAATTAGTCCCGTAGAAGTTTACCAACATTCCAGAGGTGCAGTTGCCCTTTTGATGGAGGCAACAAGCACCTATGAAACATTGGTAAACTTCTAGAAAATTACACATCTCAACAACCCAGAAGACAGCCATATTCATAGCAACAGAGTATCAGAGATTTTAGTTCACACCCTTCTTTTCCTGTATGTCTACAATCCATGTTAATGGTATAGAATTGGGTGTAAGTCTTCAAATTAGTCTATTTACATGGGGTTTTACAACCGAAATATTGTGTACATTATTTTTTATGTACAAATTCTTCATTTCCCACTATTTTATTTTCCTTCCAAAGAGTATTTATTGATCTATTCGTGTAACAGGAAAATGGTATTTAGAATAGCAGTGGACATTTTAACCGATCGAGATACCCCGGTCTATACGAACCTTCGAGCCCGAATGTGTAGTTGAATACGTTTATGCTTGATAGATGGCAGAGAGAGTATATGCGTCTACGTAATAGTATTGCACATGGTGCTTTGAATTTCGTATTGGTGAGAACAAGACGGTGGTTTAATGTTAATAGCCATGTGATATTTCTAGAAAAAGTATATAAGAAAGTTGTCTGTGGTATAACCTAGAAATTTTGCGTTTGGCAGCATTTTCTGTAAAGTGAAGAAAAGAGATTATAAAACTTTGAAACAGGTGAGTTTACATTTGGAGGTATAAATTACGTTTAAATAATCCTGAAACTTGTGTGAGGTATTTTGTTTACGTTGCCATGGAGACATTTGCCAGAAATTTCTTGTTCACTAGAACAAATTGTGGAAGGGGAGATGTATGAATAGACGTGACGCTTTGGTTATTTTAAAAGAGTTGTATGTAACAAGTTGTACACATACAAAACTTCGCAATATTGCCATAATCTTAGCCCTATATTTGCACATTTTACAGCCTCTGGAAAGTGCAACATGATTGAGCAGGAAGAGGTTATGAAAAGTAATAAAAAGTCTTTGTTAACGAAGTACGATATTCCAGTGGATCACATTTCTTTCGAATATGTCGAAAAATGTAACGATCGAAAGGAAATGGAAAAGATCGTTAAAATACTAAGGTAATATATAATGATGCATTCTTAAACTAAAAAACAAAACTTTATAAATTTTTCTGCTTATGTTTTGTTATTTTATGACACTGTCTCAACAGGAAATCGTATATAGTACGGTGATCGTGTATTCCTGAAGCTGAATTTTAGTTGTATTTAGTTATAACGAAACAGAGTATCCTAAGGTGTTTTCGGTTATGTGTGTCATCTGAAATAAGGTGATTTCATATATTGTCTTTTGTTTGTTTTTATGATTTATGTTGTTGATTATATTGCGAACATTTCACATTCTAAATTCTTTTTACATTACCTACCTGTATCTAACAGATCTGGTGAAGAAGGACAGTTTCCTCAGCTTACCATTTGTGCTGAAACTCGTCTTAGGCAGATCGCTCCAGAGAGTCGTGTTTTGCAAACTGAGGAACCCATCCTAACCAAAGCCACCCTTGAGCCTGGACATTGGGATGAGGTTTCTAATGAGGTGCAGGTATGAGTGTGTATTGTGTACTTCTGAAGATGTGAACATATTTTTTCTGGGATGGTTGTTGAGTTGCCTGTATGTTTTGTCAGGGAGGGTTAAAATGTCTTTAAGTTATAATTTCCTTATTGTTTCTTTTGTAGGTGATTGTTAGAATTTGTTTCTACAAGGGGAGTAGTTAGTCTAGTTGGCTGCACTGTGATGTGGTTATCTATTGGTGTATGAAATAAAATTAAAATTAAAATCTTCATAGGATCATGTAATATTATTCTCTGTAGCTTGCGTTCTGTAGTATTTTGTATTGGGAATGATAATTTATTATATTTTTTTGTTCTAATATTTCTGATTTAGGGCGTCAGAAGTACAACTTAAATCTGCAAACTACTTTACAAATCCCACTATCCCATAGCTTCACATATTATTGGTTGCCAATGGTGTGTGAGTGAGTGTATTTTTTGGATGCTGTTCCTATTTTAAGCAGGAAAATTTTGTTTTGTGGTGCAAATACAGTACAGTACTGGATTCCGTATTCTGAAAGCCTGGAAACTAATGTTTCTTTAATTTTAGGATTTTCTGGATTTTGGATCTTTAACAATAGCTCATCTTTCTGTTTTATGCTAAGTGACAAATGCATCCTCTTTGTATTTATGTAATCCCCAGAACTCAATTGTTGGCGTTTTAGACATTTTAAAGGGTAAAACTAGTAAGTACTAAATAAAAACTTAACTGGAAAATCCTGCAGTATTTCCTAAGCACTGAGCAAACAAGTACAAACACGCAAGCCGCCTTTTACTAGCAGTAATAAGATGGTTGACAGTGGTGCCACTCACATGCGTTGGTGAATTGAAGAATCAAAGTGCCAATTTTAAATATGACAAGTATAGAAAAATGTTCCCTAAAAATAACTGGGAAAAATATGGTTTTTAGGTCCTTCTGGATTTTTTGATGCAACTTACAGGGTCCAACACTGTAGTTCAGATTTTGTAGTGTGTGTTACATCACAGGAATGGACTGGAAAAATGAAGGCACGTGAACAGGAACTGAAGAAGAGCAGCATTGTTGGTCAGTCTTCAGCATACCTGCCAACTGTACGCAACATGAAGAGCACCAAGACTCAGAACTCTGATGTGAGTAATAGGGCATCAGCATTACTGTCAGAGTATGCATGTGCATAAGCTGCTGTAATATTATTCTTTGTTCTTAATGGTTTTCATTTATATAATGTTTTGACGTAAAAACGTCTATACGGGAGGGTCATTCAGCAAAAACAGTGTAACGAAGATGTATAATGAAGTTGTGTAACAAAGCTGTGTAAGATCCATATCAACAGTGTGTAAATATGGACCGACAACAACGGTCAGTTTTTATATGAACTCCTGCGTGCATTGTTATGTTATATACCTAAGAAACTTGTTGTGTCATCTGTTTACTCGGCATTGTTGTGTTACATTACTGCCGCCAACAATCCGCTTTCCTTATTGCAGAAAGAGCTGAGCTGTGAATCACTTGTAGAAGAAGTGTGTCGTACACTAAATAATTTTGTGCTGGTAAAAACGTTTTAGAATATCACAAGTACTTATCTTATATAAGAATTATTACATTACATTACAGAGATGTATTTACGTCAGATTCTCCGGAACCGTGGTTCCACTGTCAACATTTTAATATGCATAACGCTTTATACAAAAATATAACAAATTAATGTAATTTTGGGATTAAACAATGAATGAAAATAAATGACAGACAAATAAAATATGAAGTTAAAAATATAGTGTAATAAATATAAAACAATATGACAAATATTGTAGCAACATTTTAGGAAGGAAACAGCAGAATGAGCCAATAAGAAGACAGAAAGAGGGTTTAACTAGATCTCACTGCTCGTAATACAATTGTGAATTATTATTCAATATGTAGATATTTGTTTGAATTAATGTGTGACTTTTATAGGTTATGTAGTAAAGCTGTAATATTTCATGGCATAAATCTAACAATAAAATGAGACATGAACAATAGAATTGTAGAAAACTGTATTGGCTTATTAATATTGTATTGCTTGGCAGAATTGCAACCAGGGGACTGGACTATTACTAATGAAGAGTGTGGTGCCTCGAAATTATGCAGACTGGGATAAGTTTGACGTAGATAAGGAGCTCCTCAAGATGGAGTTGGAGGATGAGCAGAGGAAAGAGCAGGCTATAAAGAAGAGAAAGCAGCAAGAGAAGGAGAAGATGAAGAACAAGAGAGATAACGAAGATAAATTTGCACATGCTGCAGGTTTGTTTGGTGAAACTGTTTCTTTGGTGTTTGCAAGTTAAGCAGTCTAATGAATTCTTCTCAGGCTACTAGCTTGCTGCCGCCATTATCAGGTCGCTCTGATGATGGAAGTAGCATGGACCTCTGAAATGTCAGTAAACTTCTACTAGACTATGCGGTGTAACAACCCAGGCCTATCAGCTTAAATATGAGTGTAGAACTATGGGATCAGTTCACCTTTATGCATAATATTTTCCCTTTATTCTTATCTCTGTCATTTCAAGTTGGTATTCTTAAATAACTAAATATCTGGTAATGTAATCTGAAGGAAACCCAACTGGACACAATTCTGAGCCAGTTTAATCCAATCCTCAGAGCATATATACATAACATTCATTCTGATAAACTCCCATGTTGTTCAGTCTTTCAACTGGACACTTACCTATGAAAATTCTGTGCTAATTTCTTGTTTCCTCCATTTGCACTATATGTGTGACCCTTTTGTTGTAATTACTCTATTATATTTTTTAATTAATGTCGCACTATATGCCATGTAGGTGCTTGAGGGTAGAGGAGGTATAGCTCCTACTCATTCTTAACCCCAGCACTAGATGGGGGTGAGTGATCAGTGTCACACCACAGCTGTGCTTTACTCCCAGGAAAGGATCCTGGTGCCCATTGCATGGGAGGCTGGGTTGCCTCAGAGCCCTAACCTAACCTGAAATTCCTTATTAGGTAATATTCTTCATTTCACACTGCATCATCTTGTGTCTATATATTTTCTCCTGTAGTCCTTTTGAATAAGATTGTCTTATATGTAGATAATTAATATGACGTATTGCAGAGAATCTCTCAACAGTAGAAAAGGAGGTTATGGCAACACAGGAGAAAGATCGAGGCAATGAATATTATCGTTCTGGTGACTATGAATTGGCTGTGAAGCACTATACATCCAGCTTGTCTCTTTGCTGCACACCAGCTGCCTACAACAACAGAGCAATGGCATGTGAGTTTCATTACTGTTATGATTAAATTTTAAATGGTGGACTGTTGATGTGAAAATGGAATAAGTTTGTGGTAGCTAATTAAGTTTTAAGTAGTAGTGGCATACTGTTTGCAGTCAGAGCAGACTCAGTTCATATAACAACGTAGTTCATCACAAGATGATCATTTCTTTGTTTCCCAATCATAAATCGGATGTCAGTGTTGGCATATAACTGAAATTCAAGATGGCGGTGTAACAACCCAGGCCTATCAGCTTAAATATGAGTGTAGAACTATGGGATCAGTTCACCTTTATGCATAATATTTTCCCTTTATTCTTATCTCTGTCATTTCAAGTTGGTATTCTTAAATAACTAAATATCTGGTAATGTAATCTGAAGGAAACCCAACTGGACACAATTCTGAGCCAGTTTAATCCAATCCTCAGAGCATATATACATAACATTCATTCTGATAAACTCCCATGTTGTTCCGTCTTTCAACTGGACACTTACCTATGAAAATTCTGTGCTAATTTCTTGTTTCCTCCATTTGCACTATATGTGTGACTCTTTTGTTGTGATTACTCTATTATATTTTTTAATTAATGTCGCACTATATGCCATGTAGGTGCTTGAGGGTAGAGGAGGTATAGCTCCTACTCATTCTTAACCCCAGCACTAGATGGGGGTGAGTGATCAGTGTCACACCACAGCTGTGCTTTACTCCCAGGAAAGGATCCTGGTGCCCATTGCATGGGAGGCTGGGTTGCCTCAGAGCCCTAACCTAACCTGAAATTCCTTATTAGGTAATATTCTTCATTTCACACTGCATCATCTTGTGTCTATATATTTTCTCCTGTAGTCCTTTTGAATAAGATTGTCTTATATGTAGATAATTAATATGACGTATTGCAGAGAATCTCTCAACAGTAGAAAAGGAGGTTATGGCAACACAGGAGAAAGATCGAGGCAATGAATATTATCGTTCTGGTGACTATGAATTGGCTGTGAAGCACTATACATCCAGCTTGTCTCTTTGCTGCACACCAGCTGCCTACAACAACAGAGCAATGGCATGTGAGTTTCATTACTGTTATGATTAAATTTTAAATGGTGGACTGTTGATGTGAAAATGGAATAAGTTTGTGGTAGCTAATTAAGTTTTAAGTAGTAGTGGCATACTGTTTGCAGTCAGAGCAGACTCAGTTCATATAACAACGTAGTTCATCACAAGATGATCATTTCTTTGTTTCCCAATCATAAATCGGATGTCAGTGTTGGCATATAACTGAAATTCAAGATGGTACTGTATGAAGTGTAATGTACTCATTCTGTAATATTGATAACAGGTGTAATATTGGGGGTACTTTTAATTTAGTGAACACCTTATACTGCCAACTTGGTTAACACCTTTAAAAAATATGGGTGTTTTGAGTAAATTAATAAAGTTTGAAAAAAATCCAAGAATGAAAAGAACTTAGGGTTTTGCAATTAAGATAATTGCAACACCTTTTGTTTTATATGAATTCGGAGTTTGGATAATAATATAAAATGGTAGTGAAAGCTGATCTTTTGCTTATATAGTGCCCTTAGAGACTGACACTGAAAGGGTTAATGAAAGTGGCTGATGTACACTTGTTTCACCTAATGTGTCATCAGATGTTGGTTTCTGTGATTATTTCATTCAATTTTTTTTATTTTTTTTTTATTTTTTTTTATATAAAAAATTCAGATCTGAAGCTTTACAAGTATGGAGCAGCGCTCTCAGATTGCAGTCAGGTTCTGAAAGCAGAGCCACTTAATGTAAAGGCTTTGCTTCGGCGGGGAGTTGCCCAGCAGAACAAGAACAATTATGAACAGGTGCATATTATTTTGTTGGCATGTCTGGAACGGGTGACCTAAAAAAGTAGTAAATCTGTAGGATTTGTGGTTCTTACAGTGGCCATTATGAAGACAGTTATCTTCTAAGTTGTAATGCTGTGCAGTCTGGTATGAGTTTGCCAACATTTCAGAGGTGCTTGCTGCCTCCATCACCAGGCTGATTAGTGAGGCTGCAAGCACCCCTGAAACACTGGCAAACCTCCACCAGATTGCATGGCATCACAACCCACAAGACAGCCACCTTCCGGTAGTAAATTTGTCCCACATTTGATAGACTAGGGGTCAACTTAAATTTTGCATTTTAAGGGAGGGCCCTACTAAGAGTTAGTAGACTAGGGGTGAACTTAAATTTTGCGTTTTAAGGGAGGGCCCTACTAAGAGTTAATGCATTTCATTTAGCAATAGTTTTGCATGGTAGAGCCAAATTGTCATGAAGTTGGTGCTTTGATGTTTCAGTTTATTTCTTCCTGTTGTTGACAGACACTATGGCCGTACAAACTCATAAACTAATGTGACTCTCAGGTTACACTCGATCACAGTGGTTTGATTTAAGGCTCCCACTCATGCCATTTATGTATGAAGTCTGAAAATTCTTATCTACTTGGAAGATTGAATTTGGACTTTATTTTATGTTACCCTTAACCTCTGATTGCACTTGGGATTTGTTCTAGGCTTTTGAAGACTTCTCAAAAGTTTTGGAGCTGGAACCAGGCAACCAGCAAGCAAAGTCTCTTGCTGAGCAGATGAAAATGAAGTGTGGAGCTAATTTCAAGAGTGTGAGGTGAGCCACGTTGATTACTTTTGTTTGTGCTTGTATGAGGTTTTAACCATATGTGAAGCTTTCAGAGGAATTGGAATCATCTGGGACAATCTAAAAGGGGAGAGCCATGAAGACCCAAACTTGTGCAGAGACTAATCATTCTCTAGATATTGAGTGAGAACAAGAAATTTCTACTGATGAGAACAGTCATAGAGTAATCTCTTAATGCAATGATGTAGAGTTGAATGATTGAGATTAGGATGCATCTTCTAGTGGGGACTATGCCCACAAAATAATGTGAAGACCATCAGAGAGCCATCAGGCCAACAATTGTAAAATGTTTTTATAGTATTCATGGTTTAGGATACTGAAATATGTGTGTCTAAGTTATTATTTCTATTTCAGAATAACCATTGAGGATGAGTCTACAGGCTTTGTTTTTCCTGCATCGAGACAGAATGTAGCAGTGAATGAATGGGGGTTAGCAAAAACAATGTGCAGATGCAATGGCATTCCAGCCTGGTCACATAGAGCCCCTCCCAAGTGCAGGACCTGCCAAAGGAAACGAGCAGAACGAAGAGCGAAAAAAGAGGAGGCAAGGCAGAAACTGAAACAGGCCACCAAAGAGGCCTCTGAGATGGGTGACCAAAGTGACTGTATTGTGATGGCCACCCCTGCTGCTGGTGATAGAGAGGGAAGAAGTAATGTGAACACGTACAATGGAGAAAATGGGGATCAAATGCAGATTGATGAGAAAGGGAGTGGGGATACGCGGGCAACGGAGAAGATTGTAGAGGAAGTAGCTGGAGAAGATTCGGAACTGCCGAGCCATAAGGATTTGATAAGTAGTGAACTGGACTCAGTGCAAGTAAGTGGGAGCGCAAGAGAAGCTGAGAAGGGAGCAATGGAAGATGTATCAGAAAGAAAGAAATTAGAAGATGCAAGAAAGAAAGATTTTAAAAGTAGTGAAAGTAATATAACAATGGAAAAGAAAGGAATGGGAGATTCAGAGAAATATAAGAAAGGAGTAATGCAAATGACCTTGGATGAGAAACAGAAGCTCCCTTCAGGCATTGACCTGAGTATGACAATAGAAACAAAAGGGAAGAGGGAAACAAAGAGAACCAGGAAGGTAGTGGAAATCAGTGACAGTAATGAGACAAATGAAAACAAGGAAACACTTTCCGAAGCAAATACTTTAAAGGATGTAAAGCAGAAGTTTTCACCAGGCACTGATGGCAATGGACCAAAGCAATCCAAGGTGAAGGTAGCAAACAAATATAAAACAAGCACAAAACCATCACAAGAGGAAACATCAGAGGTACGAATTGTGCACATTCTTACTGGATATTCCATTGCTGGCATTCATTATGTATTACACAACATAATTTATACAGTCATTTGTGGATACATACATCCATTTCTTTCAGAATAAGAACCACTGAAGTGCTAACTAAAGCTTGGATCTTAGTTTCCCTATGGGCTGCTTTAAGTGGCTACTGCTCACATCCACATATATTCATTCTTTCTCTGTTTTTCAGATGCAATTTCTGTTGAGGGAAATAATTACATTTAATTAATTTATATTTAACTTGTTGAAATAATGAATTACTCTTGTTCACTGTTCTCTTAAATAAGGACTCTTTGCCATCTTTCTTATGTCCGTAATTGCATCATAGCGTCATTCAAATTAGGCATGTGCCGATGCCTACATTTTTGAACTCCAACAGTATTGAACTCTGTAGTACTTTTTGTTTGAAATTTCCTTTTGCTTTCTTTTATCTTATAAGTCTGGAAGATTTCTCACTATTTATCCCAAGCAAGTTCAGTGTCTTTGTTGTTATTGCTGCTAGAGAGATTTCCAAATAAATAAATAAATGTACTTCCAGATTAAACAGTAATCCATAGCTTCTGTGCATGAATCTACAAAACATTGACCATGCTTTTTCTTAGTCCAGGTGGTATTTTTATTTAATAATTTGTCTCTAAATTCTTTAGTAATTTGTCAAAGTTACATTGAACCTTTTCATTTGTCTTTTATACATAGAATAGCTGACAGAAGTTGGTACAGAATGGCCAGATACATACAGGAAACAGTAAATTCAGACTCCAAAACAATGTGTACATTATATGCAGTGTCTAATAAAATGTGATGTCTCAGTGAAATACTGCATCTGTGTTTGAGAGAAATCCACCATTGTGAAATAACCACTTGATTATGTCTGGTTGTAATTCTTTTATTATCTTGTTTTTTGTTTTACAGTGTAGTACAAAACAGGCATTGCATTTTCAGACCCAAAGAGTGAACACAGTTACATCGCCATATGAGTTTATAAGGCTTTGGCAGGCTATCAAGGGGGACACAGACCTCTCTGAACATGCCCAAGTGTTGCAAGCTGTCCCACCTTCACATCTCTCATCTGGTAATGTTTTTTTTTGTTCTGAGCCCATAGATATTTTGATTTTTATATCATGGACCATGATTTGAACAGACTGACAATGGAGCTAGGGGTCAGCATTCACATTAACAGTGATAGCCTGGCTAACGCTCTGGAAGACGAAAAATAACAATTCTTCTGTCTTACTTTTGTGGTTCAGTTGTATTCCATTCAGTAGAACACAGCAAAACTGATCAGATAAAATGTATTGTTAACCAAACTACACCCAGCCAAGTATTGTTAGCTAGCTAGCTAGCTGAACTGCAGAATTAAGATTGCTTTTTTATTTTCAAATTGTTAGGCCAGAAAAAACAGTCAACATGAGCACTCTGCCCCTGGTTACAGCTAACATTACAAAATAATATTACTGTCAATTCCCAGTGTAAAATTTGCATTCAGTGTTGGGAAAACCTTTAATTTAATATTCTATTATTGCATGCATTGCATTTTTCACACCTTTGAATCACTTATTTATGAACCACATTGTCTTGAAAATTGCTTTTGTGTTTATTTACATGGTGGCACATCTTTTTTCAGTTCTTGGAAATAAGTTGGATGGAACTATGCTGAGCACCATTCTTCTCTGCCTACAGAAACATTTTACACCTGAGTTGATGCTGCAGTACATGGAAAACCTCATATTGGTGCCCAGGTTCACCACAATCAGTTTGTTCCTTCCATCCTCAGAAGTGAAAGGTACATTCTGATCCATTAATTTTGAACATGCTCTGTTATTTCTATGATGTTTGTCCCAAGTCACGTTTGAATTTTCACTAAATTGAAGTGGAGTTAAGTAATATCTAGTGTACGTACAGTGGCAATATTAGTGTATCAGATTGTGAAAATGTCCTCCCTGTTTAACTGGCTCATAGTAGTGGCTGGTGACAATGATGAATTTTCAGGTTTCATAATAACAAAGAATCTGTTGAGCATCTGATGCCCTTTGTCTTCCAAGGGAATATCGTGTTAATTAATTGTCTTTGGTGTTTCAACCATCTTGCAGATTGCAGTTGAATGTTTTGGTTTACTGTTATCACCGACACTGGTCTCCTTTATAGATGCAATAAGTACGATAAATTATGTATAGCCTCTTCTGATGTCTGTGGGACCCTGGTTTTATTTGTCATTTCATTTATAAATACATTAAAAGTAAGCTGTATGACTTACATTGTCTAAGTAATTTGCTTCTCATATTTTTATTTTTTCAGCTGTGCATGAGTTACTGAAGAAGCTAGATAGTCTCGATCATCACCCATCTGTTGCCCTTTGGAAAGCATTCCCCCACTGATGTACTTCTGTGTGAACATCAATACTGAGGTCATTTAGAAAGAATTAATTTCCTGTCCACACACAGTTAGAAGCAAATGATTACCTAGAAATCATATATATTCTGATGTAAAGTTACAAATGAGTATTTTTTAACTGGCACAGTGTTTAAAGCATTCTGTCTGCTATCATCAGCAAAAAATTTCCTGATGGTCGGTTGATATGCCGTCCTAAGGAATAAGTCTTACAGTATTCTGTGAAAAACATTAATGTAAAAATGGTTTAATTAAATGATATGCTTTGAGAATGTGTTTGAGCATTGTGTCAGATGGCAACATACCTTGCAAAGTGTAGACTTAAAAATCTGCTATTGCGTGGTATTTTAATATTTGCATGTGATCGTGATATATTATTGTTACATTACCGATTTATTTGTGTTACTGTTTAATTTAACTGCAAGAAAATTTATGATTGAAAAATGTTTTATATGCTGGTTATATGGATTACAATGCCAAATAATTCAGGAAGCCTGCTAGCTCTAGGCATTGCCCTCATGCATGTTACCATTATTTTTAGATCTGTGTATATAATTGCTTATATAATTATGATTGTAATGTCTTGGAGGAAACTTCTACAAATAGGGAAATTGATTTCGTAATCGACATAAGTAATAATGGTGTATGTTTATTTTATATATTGTATGCAAGGAAGCTATAAAAACAGACTTATGCATGAATGTTGGCAGTTTCTGATATAATATTCTCATATGCTGCCTTTTAGCAGTTATTAAAGTAATAATCTTCTTGAAATGTGTAGTTTTTAAATAAATTTGTTTTGTCTTACATAGATAGTATATTGCTACAAGAAATTCTTTCGTACATGGCAACTTCAAAATAAATCAGAGTACTTAGAATTTATATTTAAGTGCACAGAGTTCAGTATCACTATTTGTTTTTCACCCCTCCCTTTCCAAAAATCTACTTCTCCATACAAATTCTTATCTGCATTATGTATGGTGTTAGATGATGATGTGAATTCTCTCTGTATCGTAAAAAGAATTACATGTGCTGTTTTTAATAGATGTACATTGGCATCATTAGTGTATTCAACATTTTTAGAGATGACTGCATAGTGGACTAGTGGTTAGCGTGCACTGGACCCAAGGTTCACGAGTTCAAACTTGGCCAAGGTCGATGGATTTTTAAGGGTGATAAAAATCCATAGCACGACTTTCTTCGGAGGTAAAGTAAAGCCGGCATATCAGACAACTCTTTTCTGATAACTCGTTGATCTTCACATACTATACCGTAGTTGGTGTTTACAGTCACATCATTAATTGCAGTTGAAGGAGCTGCCAACTCACCCAGTTTCTCGAACAACTCCTGACCTTCTTTGAATTGTTTGAATCATCAAAGAGCTGTTGACTGAGGCAAAACCTCTTCTTTACAAGCCTTTTTTAACAAATTGTTTGCTTCAGTTGCAGTATTCTTTAAACAGTAAAAAAATTAAGTGGGGCGTGTTGTTGACACGTGTGATTTCAGAGACAAGACAGGCATAGCACAAGCACGACTAAACATCGTTTTTACCCCTTATTGATCAGACCTCATTTGTATATTTATTGCTTCATTCTCGTGTGTTATTCTTTATTAGCTGAAACAGTGTTATGGTATTAATTTTGGACCTGGCTTTGCAAGAGGATAAATAAATTCTATCATGCTTAGTTGTTGTCGTAAGTCTACAGCCTGTACGTCTATTATTTTTCCACAATATATGCCTGACCTCTGCACCTTTATTACCAGTATCTGTAGAACCAAGTATGAAGTGTGTGACCATTTATTGAATAATAAGACTTTGCATTTTACTCTCGTAAACAAAATATTTGATATAACAGTTTCTATTATAGTGTGGATATTATTCATGTTCCCTGTCACTTGGATTATTTTCAGCTTTTGTTATATGTGAATCTGGCTCTATGCAGTTTTTTTTCTTACCATAGTGTACAAATAGGAATAGTGTTTGTAATTTTATGGGCTTCCTCCAGTTGTTTAGAAACTTGTACCTCAATTATAAGGCAGTGAGTGAGTGAGTGTGTGGTTTTATTTTGTTGATTTTTTCTCATTGTCTTCTGTAATAAAAAATTGAATTTACAGGGTTTTATATGGTATGATAACTGAATGCCAGTAGTACTTAGGATTTTCCTTCATAGTAGACATCATGAAATGCAATTTAATCTCCTTTGCCTTGCATAACAGCCATTGGTTCATTTCAAAACAACTTGTGTTTTTTCCTTGATGAATTTTTGTTTTGATCCATGTGGTATCAAAGATATAAATGTTGGTTCATTACTTGGATTATCTCTAATCTCATTCCATGCACATCTGTTATTTCATGTATATGTGTGATGTAATAACTTTTGCCAGGAATGCTCCAAGTATTAAAGAACAAGAAATTATAATAATTTTTGTAATTATGTTACTTGAAATGCTTCCATCTGTATAGAAAGGCTATGGTAACTTTTGAATTAATAATTATATACATGACTTTTGTATAATGGTTTCATTAGTATATGATCTACTGTCAGACATAACATTGAAGTTTTATGCCTTCAACAAATTTGTCACTTTAAACCCTTTCAAAATAGAGTGACACTTTAGTCTGCAGTTGTAACAACTGATTTTGGCACGTTTAGTACTAGATGCAAGCGGAAGAATAAAATGCCCTTGCCATCTCTCAATCTGTGAACAGTAATTCTACCATCATTAATCTGTATACATATAGTAATGCTATCCAGAGTGATTGGATTTTGAGAGTTCTTGTTAATTTTTAAAACATAATTTTGATTGAAGTTATTTGCAAACTGCACATTTATGAAATCTTTATTATACAGCATTTATTTGTGAATCCTTGCATAACTGATAGATGATTAATATGGCAAAATGGAATGTGTGGATATGTATATTTGCCGGATTTGTACACTATTATTTAGGCTGCTGGCACTGCCAGAGCATATATTTACACATAAAAATAATCTGTTATGGCAGTTTTGTTTGTATGTTTCTTACGTAAGTCAAAGAAAGTATAACGAATGCATAGTAATTTGTGTTTGTAACGGGCAGACTGATTATCATAATCTACACTCATGGGCTTATTTCCATTCACGGTACCACGGAGAATAAGTTACTCCCATTCTCAATAGATGTTACCTTTGTTCCCGAGAAAGCAATTTAAGTAATCATGATCTGGAATGGTACGCTCACTTTCCCTGCCATCTAGCGAATTCTTTCGACAATGTTCACTTTGTGATCAGCTGTCATCGTTCGAGTTCTGCTCCACCCGTGCTAATTTTGAGTTACTATAAAGTTGCGCGCGCAATCATGAATCAAGCTCCAGTTTCGTGTATTCCGAACGCGAAAATGTCAAAGGCGAAGAAAGTTATCGATGAAGCGAAAGAAATCCAGAATCCAGAGTTGGATTTAGCAGATAAAGGAATAGCATCGTTTGAAGAACTGCCTGGATTGTGTGAGTGTATTTGTGATGTCAGGTGAACGTGATCTGTGACCAAATTTGGTAACTTGTTTGACTGCCTTTCACCGTAGTATACGTTTGTGGGCATGGGTGGAGGCGTGGCTTTCGGATCCGGCAGTGTTCTGTCTGTTCAAGCCAAGCTTAGATATATGTTCCTCAAATCAGTGCCATGCCAATGATTTGATAACATGCTCGTAATACCGAATTTAGGACAGATTTATAACACTTCTAAAGAGATGTTTTTGTTAAACAGGCGAACACATATACTCACTAATGTTTTGAATATATTCCAGTTTATGGGCCACAAATATTTACTCTTCGTAAGCCACGGTGGTCTAGCGGTTAGAACGCTGGCCTTGTAATCCTGGGGTCTCGGGTTCGACTCCCGGCGGTGCCCGAATTTATAACTTGCGTTGGGCAAGGCATCTGCCAAGAACGTATATGAACAGGTCCCAGTCCGAGAAAAGGATGGAAGGATCCTGTTCATAGGGACCTGTCTTCAGACAGAACACTAAATAAATAAAGCTGTAACAACCATTACCTTAGCCCATATCGCGCTTTTACCATTTAGGCATATAACAGTTGTGATGCAATAATTTGAAAATTACCAGAAACAAGGGTCCAGTCTGTTTATAAAGCTGTACAATTTAGGATTTTATTACTACGTTTGTAACATGAAAATTGCACATTGATTTGTGCAATGTTATTTTATTACAGTCAATTGTATTTCTTGTTTCAGTTAATATGCTCAACATAACAAGATTGACTTTAAGTCACAACAAACTCCAAGGTGAGATATAGGTATCAAACCCAATCCCTTCTCTTCAAGAACAACTTTACAAGGTAGTGACCAGTTACAAATGTTTATTTGTTTTTCATTTCTTTGTTTATGTATGTTAACTGTGACATATATTCCAACTTTAAACCCATAGCCTGTCACTGAATGGCATGTAACTTGATGACTAATGTTTATAAGAATTTCAAGTATATGTGAAGCTTATGTGGTCTAAGACGGTTGTTCATTATAATTGTGCAAGCTCTTTTCAGAAGCCAACTAGAAATTGTATGTAATCTGAATTTATGAAGATAATGCTGTCTGTTATTTACTTTTCAGTTGTACCACCTGGCCTTGCAAACCTCATTAATTTGGAGATCTTAAATCTTTTCAACAACCAAATTGAAGAGCTTCCTACTTCATTGTCTTCCATGCCAAAGTTACGCATCTTGAATGTAGGGTGAGTTTTCTGTGATTTGCCTTACTGTTTAATTATGGCTGACTAAAAACTAGATTGACATGGTAGGTAACAAGTTGCCACTTAAATAACCTTATTCAAATGTTGTACTGTGTTTCAACATATATTGACTTATGAAGTGAGTGGCATACATAGCATAAGCATGGTCTCCATTAACCGAGCACTAATCTGACTAGATAGAAGGAAGGCACTTATATAAAAGTATTTACGCCAATATTTTTTGTCCTTTAAGCATGAATCGTCTGGGGTCTCTGCCTCGAGGTTTTGGTGCATTTCCAGTGCTGGAAGTGTTGGATCTGACATACAACAACTTGGATGAGAGTACATTGCCAGGGAACTTCTTCATGATGGGTAAGGCAGCCCTTTTCTACTCATCTTGTGTTATGTATCAAGAGACAAAGCTGTAAACCAACATTTGCAGCATTCATATTTGGATCCCAGTAGAAAGAAAATAGACAAAAATAGGAAATTACATGAACTATTAATCGTGTAAGTATAGGATTAGATCCATCACAAGTATGAAATTGCATGAACATATATTTAAGATAATAAAAGGTATGGCAAAGAATGGATTTTTCCTATACATTAGAAATTTAAATCGATATGTAAAGACCTGGAAACCTGATATCTTACAGTTTTGTCTGAGTACCTGAGCAATAAATTTATGCATAATTATTGATTTAGCTTATTAATTGGTGTATACTGATAAATATAGGAATAGTGTAGAGTGAAACAAGTTTTTTGCCAGTTACAATTTCCTACCATTGCTTGTTGTGTTCTTAAGCAACAGGATTTCATTTTGATGTGGCAGCTTATCTTAATTGCAGAAACACTACGTGCCTTATACCTTGGTGACAATGACTTTGAGTTCTTACCAACGGAAGTAGGACAGCTGAAGAACCTACAGATAGTAAGTAGGTGTCATAAAATGAATTTTGTCAGTGCAGTGTGTTCCTTTTTCAGACCCCTGTTCAGTCTGTATGGTTCCTTTCCTTATCATATTTGATTTCAGTCTCCTCTAAAATCAGTAAAATTACCACTTGTCCCAGAAATACTGTCATTGGATTTGTATCTTCTTTTGTTTGGCAAGACCCAGTTATAAATTACCGTGGTGTTGCCAGCATTCACATGCTCAGAGTATAGCTGTCAGATATTATTGACTATATAATGTGTATGTATAAAGCAGATTAATCAAACATATCAGGATACATACGTTTGTTCATCACCCAGATGAATAGCAAATGGTTCATTGCCATCACAGTTGCTGCTTTACTGTTCTGCTTTGGTCTCTTGTAATTTCTGTAATTAATCCTCCCCATGTTGTTTAATTTTAAGAGTTGTTAGTGACCTGAGGAAAGACCAGACACATGAGTATGCCTTATTGTTTGTGCAGCTGGTGCTACGTGAGAATGACCTGGTGGAACTGCCAAAAGAGATTGGTGACCTTGCTAGACTACGTGAGCTGCATATTCAGGGTAACCGCCTGACTGTTCTGCCACCAGAGATTGGTGAGTCTTAACAATAAACGATGAAAGTTTACCTGTGTTGTTAGTGGAATTCAGTGTGAATACTATTTGTCACCCTGCACATTCATCTAATCAGTATTCCAGATCTTTATCATGCATAGTGAGTATATCTCAGGATACAGATCCAGCTTCTTGATTCTTCAATTCAAATCATATATGTCATTGATTCTGACATTGTGCATTACTTTGTTTTATGTAGTGTCCAGCAAAATAAAATCCAGGGATTAAGATGACCACAGTAGTTCGTAGCTAACACAAAAAAATTTCATTATATCAATAGATACTTGAATTTGTAATGCCAGATGTGAAGAATTGAGTTACTAAGCTCCTAAAATTGCATTTTATATCATGTTGAGAAGTCCCGATTATTGTGCTAAGTATTAAATATCATGTAATAGATTACAAATAGGGTTTTGCATTGTAGTCTGATAAAGTTTGATTGTAGTGTGAAGAAAGCCTTTGCTGCTGTTACATTTCACAGGCAACCTTGACTTGGTGAGCAATAAATCTGTCCTCAAAATGGAGAACAACCCGTGGGTGACACCCATCGCAGACCAGCTGCAGGTTGGAGTGTCCCATGTCATGGACTACATCCGGACAGAAACATACAAATAGTGAGTTTCTCCATAGCTGTCTTTAAAAGAGAGCAGTGTAAATGATGAGTGTGTGGGCTGTTACGAATCTTGTTTCTATAAAAATATCACGACTACCTAAGTCACTGCTCTGCTATTTGGATGTCTTCTTCATTTACAGTGATCACAGATATCTAGGCAGCTGATAAACATTGTATGCCAACATAACATAAATTTTTTACTCTTTAAAGCCCAGTGGTAACAGCATGTACCATCTGCTTTAACAATGAATAACTGTTTATGGTCTTTGCAATGAAGACATGTTTTGTTTTCTTTGAGGTAAAAACTACTTTTTTAAATGTTATATAAGAGTTTCAGCTTCAGGTGTTTAATGCCATTCCCAAGGGTTCAGTTGCCCTTCATTTTTTCTCTCTCTCTCTTTTATGAACAGTGTATCACTACACCATTGTATGATCCTGATTTTGTAAACTTGAGAAGGATACAATGTTCCCAGTGTAGTGTAATACCTAGCTGTTTTCTTCCCGCAGTGTGTACAGCCGTCATATTTCTGCAGACAGACAACCTCCTCCTAAAACCAATGACAAGAGCAAGAAGATATCCAGAGCACGTCAACAAAGTTAAGTGCAGAATTTATTGGGTCCCTTAACAGAGGGTAGAAGGGTGTTTGTATACGAGAAAAAACATAACCTCAAATTCTGAAGATCACCCCTCCCCCCCCTCCTCACAAGTATTTTAACTAAAAAAGCAGGCTTTTATTAATGAGTAAATGGCTTCCAAAACAATGCTGATATTCATAAATAAGGGATGCCGTTATTTATACAGATGCTGTCTACATCAAGTGATGTTTAAGTAGGAAGATGGCTGTCTTTCTGGGATGTCTCATAACACCCCAAAACACAGCCACTATTTATAACTTTTAACATCAGTAAACACCATTTGGTTTGTGCATTCATACATAAACACTATGCACATGTGAATGAAAACCATTATCAGAAGAGCATCTCTCATTTGTTTATCTTCCTAATGAGCTGTTACTTTCAGGTGTATTTTAATAAGAAATTTTTAAATTATGTACAAAGTGGACAAATACATAAGTGTATGCTTGTAAATAAAGCAAAAGTGTTTGTTCACAGACACATTAACATAAATAATCAGAATTATATGTTTTGTAGTAGTAAGTCCACAATTTTGTCACATTCTCTGATCCATTACAAGCAGTCATTGAAAAAAATGTATCTTTGGCTGAAAGTGTGTATTTTGTGTCATTCTATAGCATTTATTTTGATGGTGCCTTGTGAATCTAAAAAATATGTGCTATGGTTACAAGGAATCCAATGAAAAAAAATAATATATGAACTGATTATTTTATTAAATGTTTTATAGTTGTATTGTGTTGGTTGAAATAGAATAGTAGTCACTCAAAGCAGGTAGATAAGACCCCAAAATAAAAACAAAGTGCATTTCACGGTACACTGGAACAAATTTGTGTTTCATAGATATTACATTACAAAGTGCTTCAGTTTCTTGTAGACATTATTAGAGTATAACTCAAATTACAATAGTAAATATATGAAGTATAATTTGATGAAACTACATAGGTCTGAGATGCTTAATCTATTTATACAAAACCAAATGATACCATCACATTTTGCCATTTTCAGTGCAGTCTCTTACTCAGAAGTTGTTTTGAACATTCTAATTTAGATTCTGCTGTGGTTCAAACACTGCTCTTTTCATTTGCCTGCATGTCAATATCAGGAGAGGAGACAAACTTGAGTATGACAACAAGTGTGTTTGGTGATGTGGAGTCTGCCACCATAAGCTGCGACCCATCCTCCAATCCAAGTTCAGTGAGTGATTTCTTGAGATTGACTCGTGTCTTCTCCTCGATGCTCGTAACTGTTGGCATGTACAATGTGCGATTCTTGCCATCAATGTTAGCGGTCAGTCCTGGGCTCTTCATCTGGAATTTTTGGCTTTCACATAAAACTGTGATGATATCTTGCAATTTGGCCTCTGGTCCTGATATTTCCAATGTTTTAGGCACCTGACTACATGCTAGACAATCTTCCTTACGTTCTGCCTGATACGTGTATGTGTAGACACCATCCGCATCATTGAATACCATGTAGTTGTCTAGTGGAATACAGCAGCTTGTAGCCAGTTTGAACACCTCTGTTGCACATGCTGCTGCGACTGCAGCATTTGTTGAAGCCACAG